GTACATAAAGCAGATTTTTTTCTGCATGATTTAGAAGCGGAGATAAGAAAATGCTGATTGTTTCAAAGATATTTACAAATTTAGGCATTTTCAAATCATTTATTTTATTTTTCTTCTACTTGTTAATCTAAAGATTTTACAATCTTTCTATTCTATAAGAAACCAATACACATGGGGTTTATGTACAGCTCCCAGTCCCCGTGTTGTAAACACCGGCTGAAGCTTCCCGTCCTGCGCCGCTGCTATTGACGGTAATCGATCTGGAGGATTGGATCATCACAGACTGAGAGCATTAACTTAGCGACAGCCGAGGGCAGGTCCCTGAGAAAAACATACATTAAATCAGTAACATAGGGACCATCATCCACAGAACCATAGCCAGAGCCATAGTCTCTGTCCTCACTGTAACTGCAGCTGAGATACAATACCGCAGGTTTACAGGACAGTGTCGGGGAATGGCTTCACGGCTCTGACCCTCAGCGGCTTTGATGTTTATATTGAACACAAACATGACGAGGAGTAAAAAGGAAAATAAATATAAATAATAAGTGAACACATGCAGGAGAAGCATATTCAACACTCTACCTGCCCCCTTGTTGCAAATGTACTAAACAATATTTCTTCACGTCCAGTATTGGTTATAATAATGATAATAATAATAATACAGTTGTCTGTTCGGGTGAGTTAAATAACAATAATTCTTGCAGTTGTTGTCGTGACTGATCATGTCTTCAAGACAACTCAGAGAGTTTCACATGATGCAGCGTCAAGTAAATTGACTTTAAAGAGAAACTGCAGCATCTAATTGTGCAAATCCGTGTCCAACACAGACTTGGATTGAGTAATCATATTATTATTATCATTATTATTATTATTTGACCAATGCTCTCTAAGCCTGACTGCACAGCTCTTCCCTACACAAGCTGCAGCCCAGCCAGATCCTGCAGCTCTTGTCCTCTCCAGCACCAGCCATGGCAGTCTGTCAGCATTGCCTCTCATGGCTATTTGGAGAGGACAGGCCCCACAGGGTTCCGGGTCGTCTGGAGCTTGTGTTGGGAATAGCTGTATAGAGCAAACTTCTCCAGGATAAAAGATGCTCAATTGGATCTGCTGGTGGATTTGGAGCCAGAACAAGATTGAATGTATTTTTCTTCCTGGAGTTTAAGTCCCTGCGTGGCCTCATTCCACTGAACATCAGCCACAGCCCCACGGCCTGACTGCTCCCTCGGCAGCTCAATTCCCCACCACCTGCTCACCAGTGTTCAGCTGTTCAGGTCCCGCTGTCTGCCATCCCCTCCCGCAGCCTCTCCCCCTCCACATTGGCTCTTTTTAACCCGCCTTAAATGTTCCTTTTCCACCTGACTCTGGTGGTCTTTCTCTCCTCCTTCCTCAGCTCCCGCTCCATTACCGCTGTGTCAGGCGGTTTGAGACGTTATCTCACTGTGAAATCCGCTGTAACATTGTCAAATTATTGTTCATTCTGTAGATTAATGAAAATATAGGAAATAACAGAACAAACGCATGGATTATATTGGCGATCTATTCATGTTTTACACATATTATCAATAAAATATTACTGTCCTACCTGTAAAATAAATTAGCATTACATTGTTTTGTTTTATATATATATATATATATATATATATATATGGTTGTATTGAATTAAAATGTGAGGATTGTTTCAGATGAATTTGTCAGTGAATTTATTGCAGATAGTCAAGTGCTTAAACAATATGTGTGCTGTGATGGTATCCAAATACATTCACGTCAAATGTAAAGGTAATTTGCAGATTAATCATCATATAGTGTAAGAAGGCCCTAAACCATCCGACGGCAGCAAATCAAAGTATGTTTTTTATTCATTTCAAGATCTTTGAACAGAGTGCGTCAATCACTTTTCCATGGCAAACGAGGGGACATCCTCATTAATTTAGATATAAATGTTCTTCAAAAAAACCGTCATTATTTAGAAACATTTAGTTTGAATTGAGGTCATATTCTTAAATACATGATTTTCTGACTTGAGGAATCTGAAGGTGGATGTTAAGAACATAATTTATCATTGAGATTGTGAAGTCAGTGTAAAGGAAAGTATGAACATCTGCTGTTTCATCTAATGTTACGCAGGTGTTGGCAAGTTACAATCTTTCACATCTTTGTCAGTGCGACTTTTAATGCATGTGAACACCAATAACTATAGGCTCGGCAATGGCTTCTCAAGGCTTCAGATATTCATGAACATTGTGTATTTTAAAAGTATTTTTTATATGATTGAGATTGTAAGCGGTATTGCTCTCAGTTATAGATTCGGTGCATTAGTAATGAACAATTCAGCTTAATGATACTGATGAAAGTACAGAAATGCCCAAGGACAGTTATTATCTGGTCCGCTCCCTACCCTCAGGAGGCTCTGGCCTTCTCAACACCCCCCGCCCGGCCTACCCCACCATCGGCTTTGAGCTCCTTGGCCCACAGCGCCTGGAGATCCCACAGTCACTTCATCTCTCTCCCTCCTTTGCCTCCATCAAAACACGTCTCAACTCCCTCCTCTTCAACCGCGCATTCCTCCAGGCAGCTCCCTCTCCCCTCCCTGCCCTCCATCACCCTGATCCCAACCTCCAGCTCGGGGCCCAATCTTTGAGGTCCTCCCGATGTGAAAGAAACTTTACAAATGTGATGTTGTTGCTGTGTATCATTAACAGAGTTGCATGCAGTCATGTGTCTCAATACCTCTGCAATAATACTCAACATCTAATGTGTAGCATTTGGGAATCTTTAGTTTACTAACGTGTTAACGAGAAGGTATTCTGCAACTCAACGCATTTCCAGAATAATACTTGTAAACAGTAAATGAATAAAACTGATCTAAAATGACCAACACATCAATAATTGGAAAGCTTCCAGTTTTAGAATATTTATCTTTCTTTGTGGGTTGCGTCTCCTTCTGAGTCTCTCTCTTGCTCTCTATCTCGCTCTCGCCCCTATTATCTTGGAGCCCCACCTCCACCTCCCCACCCCCTCTCTCCCCACCACACCCCATCTGCCACCCCCCACACCCCTCATATTCCAGGCTAACACTCCAGACCAACGATGGGGGTGGTGGTGGGGGTGGTGGGGGCTGGATTTGGGGAAGTGCATTGTACTAGACACCAAGTCATCTTACATCAATAATAATTTGGTCACTTAATACACGACTGTTTTTGGGATATTGCTGCGCACAATTGATGCTGCGTTTCACCCACAAAAGACACAGTCGTTGCACTTGTCACTGTATTCTGCCGTTCGCTTTGGGACGTCTCGATGACGTAATACGTGATATAAATAATAATAATAATCCTTGCATTTGATATAGCGCTTTTCACGTCGGGAGGACGTCCCAAAGCGCTTCACAGAACACACTGTAAAGTGAATTGACTGTATATTTGTGGGCGAACGCGTTATTATTGTTTTTGGTTTTGGAGGGATTATTATTAGGCTCTGTGTGGAATAAGGAAACTTGCCCAAGGTTTCGCCCTCTGCCTGGAATTGAACTCAGGTCTCTCACTTGCAAAGCGAGTGCTCTAACCACTGAGATACACTGATATCAATGTGACTAATAAATTAATAAAACTGATCTAAAATGAGTGACACCTTAGTAATTAAAAAGAATCGAGCTGTAGATGTCTTTTTTTTCAGTATAGATTGCGTGTCCGGCTGTCCATCTCTTGCTCGCTCTCTCGCTTCCGAGTCAGTAGTTTGTAGGTTTGACCCTCCCTCCACCCCCAAAAGACACATATTCACACAACCGCACAACCGCACACACGCACGTCGGGGTCCCTGATCTCACAGTCCTGACTGACTCACAAGCTCAGCCATGAGTGGTGGTGGTGGTGTTGGTTGTGTTGGAGGTGGTGGTATATGTGGGGGAATGAGGATCGCCGCATTGCATTGGACACCATATCATTAATATAATGATTAATTCACGACGGTTTGTCGGATACGGCTCTGCACAACTGCTGCAGAGTTTCAACCACATTATATTCTGTGAAGCGCTCTGAGGCGTCTCAGTGAGGTGACACTTGATGGTGGATGTTAAAAACAGGCTTTATCGTTAAGATGGCAAAGTCAGTTCAACGGGAGATGGGAATATCTGATGTTTAGTCTCACATTAAGCAGCTCTCCTCGCCAGTTGCAATCCTTCACACCTTTTCACAATGCGATGAATAAATTATTTAAGTGGATGGAAAATGACTGACACATTTATAGTTAAATAGTTTCCAGCTACAGAGTGCTTAATTTTCGGCTTCGGTTGCGTTTCCGACCTTTGCTCTCTCTCTCGCCTCCGAGTCAGGAGGTTGCGGGTTAGACATCCTCCCCCCCCCCCCAACACACACCCACACAACCGCACACCCACAGACCTCGGAGAACCTGAGCTCACAGACCCGGATAACGATACAGCACAGCGCTGGAGTTGGGGCGATGGTGACGGAGAGAGAGCCGCGTATTGTCGGAGACGCCAAATCTCCTGACAAATATAATAATTTGGTCGCTCAGTTTTTGTGCAGAGCTGTTGCGGGGCACTGTTCAGTGCATTTCCTTCCGTCTTTCATCCCCAAATGACAGAGTCACTAAACTGTACATTATATTCCGTGAACCGCTTTGAGACGTCTGAATGTTGGGATTATGCGCAATATCCAACGAAAGGATTATTATGAGTAGCAGTACTCATATAATTAGATTCAATATATATACATATATAATATATATTATCACCATTTCCCTCAGACTTATAAGACTTGTAATTGTATGGCGACTATTTAGTCACACTGTATATTGTGTGAGGCTCGGTCAGGCGGTATCGCCCTCTGAGAGAGAAGGCTTTGATCTGATTTCACTGATCATTTATCAACTTAGTTGAGCGTTCAATTTGACCGTGAGCGCAACGTTGTGCAGTGGAAGTAGAACGGACTGAGCTTTACAAGTGGGTTACTCTCTGTCTGTCAAAACTAATCTGATGGGGAATGAGATTGAATAGTTCAAAAGGGTTCATCATTCAAACTAAACTTCTAAAGTATGTAACTGGCGAAAACTTTCTCATTTCAGGTCCTCAAGTCGACAGTCAAGCTAAGAAATTAGGTGAGTGTTTTTTTTTGGATAAGCTATTTGTCTTCAGCACAAAATTCATAAAATACAATTAAATCAAAACTTTGTAGCACCACCAAACCCAAGACTAGGGCCATCCTCCCGACATAAATGGTGCGAAATATACTGCAGATGCAACTTGCTGCAGCTTTTATGGATGTCAGGCTCCATTGGCTTCCATTAGCAAAACGGATATTGTTTATAATCCTGACACTCACATGCCATTCACGTCATACCCTAACCATCTTACTTGTACCCCTCATCCTCTAGCAGTCCCACCTATCCTTCGGCCTCATTGACAACATCTTGCATTGGCATACCGTCCCTCTTGCAGGTTAGCATCTCAGAGCGCCTGGGTCAGCAGGACCCCGACCCAGAGAAACAGGGAGGTCGAAGTGGAAGCTCTTCCTATGTTATATAAACTTGGAGTCAAGGAGGAGGGATTGAGGAAGAGTGCTGCAGTGTTTCTGGACAAGCTCTGCCCTGTTAAGAACCCAGAGACCCTTCCCTTCCCCGGGTGACAGGCACATGTACAAGAAGATAAGAAGTTATTGTTTTTGCTGTGAAGATCTATCCCGCAGTTTCAATACATCTCACGTTGAGTTTGTCCTTGTTATTTTTTCTCTCCTTTACAGTACTGAATTGAGAGGAACATTTCCTCTGTTTGTTTGAATTTTAACCTCATCTTTGCAGGAACACTCAAGGCGATTCGTGTCTTCCATCTAACCGTTGCAACTTTAATACGTATTGACTGATGTTTTCCTGTAAATGGAAGCTAAAGCATTTGCTCCCCGATCCCTCTTTCTCCACCTTATGTAATCCCCTATTTAAACAAACCTAAGTAATACAACTTTAGTAACCTCGGTCTGTGCTTCAAATCGTCTCTTGATTTACACGCCTCTCCACCCTGTTCTCCCCTCCAAATATCCACACCTCGATTCCAGTCCACATTTAACTTTCGTCTTGTGTCAATTATTATTGTTCCACATCCCGCTGAGCCTATCAATGTCACCTGAACTATGAGGACACGTGGAATGTGCAGCAACTTTAACTCTATCATTTACTGAAAACCATCGTTCAAGTCCCACCATCGATTACATACACTGCCCTGACACAACCTGCACAACTCTTCCAGCGCTACACAGAATTTACTGTAAGGAGCAATGACTGTGTAGGCAAATGCAACAGCTGCAACAAAAACAACTCGGATTGATATAGCGCCCTCAACCCCGGACGGCGACTCAGAGCGCTTCCGATTATGTACAAATATTATTATTATAATTATGACTATCCTGCGCGACTGGAAATCAATTACAAAGGCATATTGTTGGTGATGTTTTTGCAGATCATTTGAGGCTGGTGAATGGCGGCAGCCCGTGTGCCGGGAGAGTGGAGGTCTACCACGATGGACAATGGGGCACAGTGGATGGCTTTGGCTCTGGTGACAGTGGTTGGGATATGTTGGACGCGGCTGTGGTGTGTAAGGAGTTGGGCTGTGGGGCCGCGCTGTCAGCATCAGGAGACGCTCACTTTGGCGAAGGCTCAGGTCCCGTTGTGACCGCGTATGTTCGGTGCAGAGGAAGTGAGTCTACTCTGAGGGATTGTCAGTCAGGGTCCTGGGGTCACTATTACTGGTCACACACCTATGATTCCGGCGTCATCTGCTCAGGTAAATAATTCAGTCTCCCATCAATTTTTTCAATCCTCATATTTTCGGTAAACCACAGTTTGAGAAACTCTGATAGAGATTGCATTCCACATGATGTCAGTTTGTCAGTTTTAAATCCCTAGTTTTTTGGGGGGTCACACCGCCTCCTTCCGCTCCTCACCACCCCCCACCCTCAACCCCGCTACCGCCCACCCTCCAGCCCTCCTCCGTCGTTCAATGTTGATTTTCTTTAACCTCCGTGTTTCTGCACAACTGTGGCTTCAATCCTTCAATGAAATAATTTTTCAGCACGGAAGTAAAATATATTTATTTTAAATATATGCGTCCTTAAGATAATAATTAGTAATTAATCCTAGAGAATCCCTCAATCGCCTGGCCAGCACCTCGCCCGGCACCCCACCCCCGGCTCGGGGTCAACCACTATTAAACGGTCCAAGACATGTTACATGATTGCAAGTTGTTTTTTTTTTAACACATTTTCCCTTTCCCGACCAAAATGTCTCAGATAATACGTAGTAATCAAATGTGACAGTAGATCCTGTGAAGAGCTTCGAGGCGTCCACCTGTCATAAATGGCTCAATGTCAAAAATGACGATGGTTATAATCTGGAATTAAGTTTGCAAGTGGTAAAAATATAATCTTCTAACTGCGGTATGAAGCCTGCGTGCAGGAGTGTTTATTATTTCAACTCAAACGGCTTTCCGTCCTGCCCCTCTAGCTCACTTGCTGCGCTGCTGATTGCCCCATCACCTCCTTAATAATAATAATAATAATAATCCTTGCATTTGATATAGCGCTTTTCACGTCGGGAGGACGTCCCAAAGCGCTTCACAGAACACACTGTAAAGTGAATTAACTGTATATTTGTGGGCGAACGCGGCAGCCAATGGCGCACAGCGATGTCCCACAAACAGTCATGGATTGAAAATGACCAATTTATTATTGTTTTGGGTTTTGGAGGGATTATTATTAGGCTCTGTGTGGAGTAAGGAAACTTGCCCGAGGTTTCGCCCTCTGCCTGGAATTGAACTCAGGTCTCTCGCTTGCAAAGCGAGTGCTCTAACCACTGAGCTACAGGACACCACACCTTACACAAAGAACCTTCTTAGTGACAGGTTCTGAATCTTGGACAAAAATGCTGTTCACTCCCCAACCAAATACAGAATTTTGAATTGCTAATAGATCCCAAGAAGAGCTTTCAGACGTCATTTCAAAGAGAAAGGCCATTTATCATAAATCATCCTTGAAGTGAAGTCTCTATCACTCGACCTCTGCTGCGATAACCGACAGCCGATACCATCAGTCTTGACGAGCATTAATTTCCTTAATTTAATTTGACAATATCGAAGCCATCCTTTTTGGTTCCCCCGAGAATCTGTTCATCACTTTGTCTTTGGATCCACAAATCCAGCTTTTTCAACATAACATACAGACTTCCGCCTCTTTTCTCTTTTCCTTTCTCGTAAATATCGTCTTCTCCAGATATTTCCAAAGAAGCCGAAAGCTTAATGCGTTTCCTCATACACAGACTTGACGTCTCCAGTTGCTTCCAAAAAGTCTTTCCCAGCTGAACGCTTCACAAGCTCCAAATTATTTACTTCGGCAGAAAGTGTTCTTCTGGCCACAACCCCACAAACAGATGTATCATGAACTATTTTCATCAGACATATAATTGGATGTAATACTTGTCGTGATCTGATGCCTTCTGAGCACCAAATCCACGTCTCCGGTATCCAACACTTCATGCACAACTGCTGATATCCTAGAAAAACCCAATGGTTCCCGTAGATTATGATGATATGGTATTGATAAGTCCTCTGGGACCCAAAGCTGCCTTTGGGGCGCCATATTAATCCATGTTGTCGTTGCATTTTAATTGCATATAACTTAGAATGTATCCCTGATGATTTGTTTTTGTTTTATTGGCAGGAACTAAAAGTCCCCGACTGGTGAATGGAAGCAGCCGCTGTTCGGGGAGAGTAGAGCTGTACACCCAGGACACTTGGGGGTCAGTTTGTGGAAATGACCTGAACATGGAGATGGCCGGATATATCTGTAAATATTTGGGATGCGGATTTGCTTTATCAGTATCAAGTGATGCTCGCTTTGGAGAAGGATCGGGACCTGTTGTTGGTTGGCCTGACTGCGGACATGATCGAGACGGTGGCATATTCTGCTCAGGTACAGCCTTCAACACAGTGTCAAAACATGTTGTCTCAACACGGATACAGTATTTAAAAACATACTTTGCTGGATATGTTTGACTGTTAGCTGTATTTGGGAACCAAACAACTCGTGCTGAAAAATAATTGATCGCATTTTACTATCAGTCACTGACAGTATTAATCTTTCATAGAGAGCTTTTGACATTGCAGAGAAAAACATCTTCTGTATTGTGCGTCACTCACAGCCGTAGGAGGGACACCGAGTGTAATAGTGCTTATCACAGAGGTATTCCTTCTGAACATTTGGGGTCAAAGTATCAAATTGCTGTAAATCACAGACTAACTATAAACTGTGTTTATCGTCTCTGCTTTCGGTCATCATTTCGCTTCGCACCCTCCCAGACCTTCCTTTGATAGCAGGTACTATGAAAGGCTTTGTAGTCAGCTACTAACTTGCAGGGTGCTGAATAGTCAAATATTGTATTGTTTAGAGAATGGGTAAAACACTTGGAGGTAAATTCATATTTTGTAGAGTGCATTAGACACTGGACACGAAACTACATGTAGATTTCTGACTCTATGTATTTGATCATTGCTTCAGCTTTCAAGTCTTTGCTGCCTGATAATCACACATCGCTAAGCTATTTGTTTGTATCATTAATATTATTTTAAAAATTATAATTCATATTACGTTAATCATTCCACTACAGAATATCATTCCCTGAAGTTAATCGGCGGAAACAACAACTGTTCTGGCACAGTTAAGCTGCAGCGCGATTATAAATCAGGAACCATCTGCGATTATTACTGGGATTTAAAGGACGCCGGTGTTCTCTGCAAGCAACTGGATTGTGGATATGCTTTATCAACTGGTCCTGGAGCACAGATTGGGAAAGAAACAGGTCGTATCTGGAAAACTAACTTTAATTGTGTTGGTAACGAGTCCTTGCTGTGGGACTGTCCTTGGTCATTCTGGGAGGAGTACAGCTGCACACATGTTCATGACGTTACTGTTGCATGTTCGGGTGAGTGAAATTACAATAAACATTGCACGTGATAAAGCGGCCTATTAAGGCATTAATTCGGTAAAAGTACATTAATTATATTATTGCAATCGAGAACGGAGCAGCATCGACTCCTGAGATACAGCAGTTACCCCTCATTCCCACACTGTAACCTGATTAACTGATTCTGATGAGGAAAAACCTTTGGTTTAATGTGTGACGGTAATGCTTTTTGGGCACAATTGTTTCAAATATTCACCTGTTGCTGAAGTTTCTTTACTCCTACCACATTAGGTTGATGTTTGTTGAGTTATTGGGTTGGAGGCTGATGTCATTGTGTCTGTTGTTGTCTGTTGTTTATGTGTAGGTCTGTGAAAGTTTCTCGTTATTTGCATGTTACTGCAGTTTTCTGTGTGGTGGTGTCAGGTGTGTTGCCACGGTTTAGCAACGAGTAGCTGCGATTATCTACACTTCAGCTCTCACACGTTTTCATGGAGAAATTTTTGATTGAAACCGTTGCAGGTACACAGTGGCACTTACGGTTAGAGAGCGGTGTGAGCCGCTGTGATGGGCGAGTGGAGATTTATCATAACGGCACTTGGGGCAGATTGCTGGACGATTCCTGGAATATATCAGATGCCGATGTCATCTGCCGACAGCTGAACTGTGGCTCTGCTATTTCAGTCTACAACTCTTCCCAGTACGGGGAAGGCACTGGACCTGTGTGGATCAATAATGTTCAGTGTGCGGGAACCGAGACGCACATCTGGAACTGCGCACATTCCACAGTGGCTTCATCCTCCGGGAGCAGCAGTGATGTGGGAGTGCTTTGTTCGGGTGAGTGCATTTTACTAACATATGGAATGAATCATTGTCAATTTAACACCGCATTATAAAATATCTGATAATAGGGCTTCTTGTTGGTGTTCCTTCTTCGATGCAAAAACGTCCGCTATCATTGAATTATTCCACCTTTGGTTCTGCGAATGAGCTCTGACAGGAGAATGACAGTCAATGTATAATGAAGGTTCACCCACACTCAATATATCGACACACAATTCTGTTTAACGGATGCTGATAATTTTAAAACGCAAACGTTTTTCCCAACCAGAAAACTGACTTTTGTTTTTCTATTATGGAACAGATAACAAACAGCTTCGGATAAATCAATCAAACGGGAGCACAGTTGATGCTGGAGTGCAAAGTTCAAGTGAGTGAACGTTTGCCAAAAGTGTTAACAGCAGCACGAGAATAAAATTTCTAGTATTAAATTGTTTCTTCTTCCAACCAAACCCGCTCAACTTCGAGCTACCCCAGGGCTCCATCAATGGCCTTGTCTCCTTTTCCTCCTTTGCCTTCTCGAGCAGCGAATCGAGGCTCGTCCATGTCCTATAAGCTTTTGTGGAAGACCTCATGTGTGCAAGCTTCTTGCAGCTTTTTGTTGATATGACAGAAGCCATTTTCTTCGGCTCCCGGTAATGTCTTCACTCCAGTGGATCTGAACTCCTCAGCCTCGCCGGGGTCTCCCTCAGACACACCGAAGAGGTTTGCAATCTATGCATCCACTTCGATCCCAGAATAAGCTTCCTCACTCACATTCATCCCTGACCAGTTCCACTTCCTTCACTTCAGCTATGTTGCACGCCTCCTACAACATATTACCCCAAATGTAGTCGAAATCCTCCTACTTGCCTTTCTCACCACCGGACTGGATGAGACAAACGCTCTGCTTGACTTAATCCCGAGATACACTGTTCAAAAATTAAGCTCAATCAGAATTCTGCTGCCCGTTTACTTACCACAGACCAAACTCCGTGCTCCCATCTCATCAGTTCTACCTTCAATTAAACTTTGCTTACGTTTAGCAGAAGATGTTCAGATCAGACTGATGGACGGTGGGAGTTCTTGCGCTGGGAGAGTGGAGATTTACTACAACGGAACATGGGGTACGGTGTGTGATGACTCCTGGGGATCACTTGAGGCGGATGTTGTGTGCAAACAGCTCGGATGTGGACCAGTATTTGATGAAGCAGCTGATGCTCTTTGTGGGCGAACCTCAGGACCAGTTTGGTTGGATGAGATGAGATGTTCAGGAAATGAATCGGCTCTATGGGAATGTGCCTCGTCTCCATGGGGGCAGCATGACTGTGGTCATAAAGAAGATGTGAGCATTGTTTGTACAGGTAAGTGAGTTTAACACCTTGTGTAACACCATTACTATCTGCTGATTGAGTGTCAGCCTGGCTCTGTTATCAGCACCAGCAAGGTTGATATGGAAGGTTTGGGGGTCAACACTCAAATGGGGTAATCAATGTAAAGGAAAACAATTCAGTGCAGGAGGAAAAGCTGACAAGGCTATCAGTACCTGTTGATGTGATACTGTTTCTCCTGGTGCACTGTCCAACTCATCTCCAGATCAAACAGGATCATTCAATTTAAGCTGGTTCTGGGACACTGACCTCTGAATCTGGCTGGATATTCCGTCAAATAGTTAGTAAAACCTCTGAAATGTGTAATGACTGAGGAGTATTTCAGATGTGTCAATGTAATTTTTCATAATCAAACACAAGGGGTAACATATGTTACTCTTATATGAAACGTCAACTATATTGTTATAAATTACACCTCGGTGTTTTCGAGCATTAATAATAGATTTATCCAATGTACTTCACGTGAGCTCCTCCACATGAAATTAAAACATCAAGAACGAGACAGACTTGCATTTATTTAACGTTATTGCTTGGAGCAGGTTACGGAATCTGACTCGGTGGGGAGCACTTAAGATCAAATAAATCGAAAACGTGTGTCAAACAACAGCACTATTCCTTCGCAGCTCACAAGTCACTGCGGCTGGTGAATGGACAACATTCCTGTGAGGGGAGAGTGGAAGTGTTTTACAATGGGACCTGGGGCACAGTTTGCTCCGACTCCATGGGACTCGAAGACGCTGAGGTGATCTGCAAACAGTTAGGTTGTGGCCACGCTCTGAAGGTTGATATTGATGGCCAAATTGATAAAGCATCTGGACCTATTTGGATGGATGACGTAGAGTGTAATTCACAGGAATCCTTCCTATGGCAGTGTTCTTCGACACCTTGGGGTGAACACGACTGTGAACATTCGGACGATGTGCGCGTAGTTTGTGAAGGTAAAGAAATGTTCCTCAGTTAAAATTTCGGAGCGAATGTTTATTGTGCTTCAATGGGAACCACTTCATTTGTAAATCTGTGTTTAATGCAGAGAAATTTACGAGAAAAACGGCTCGTGCAAAACAGTGCCCTGGGAGGTCACCTGACGAGCAGCATCATTTATCAGGTATTGAATGAAAAATAATTGAATGAAAGGCACTTGCATTTGATATCAAATCATTCATTACAGTAGGATGTCTAAAGGGGCTTCATAGTATCTTCTGCAACGCGCATGGACTGCATAATACGACTAATAATAATAATGGTTCAATTTGATAATGCGCGGTTCAGGTCTTCAGGACATGACTATCCATTTCACAGAATATACAGGAAAGTAAAACGACTGTATATGTGTGGGCAAAATTGGGCAGTCAATTGCGCGCAATAATGTCCATGAGCAGATTGAGTGAGCAAATTTTCATCGTTAATATTATTTGAAAGATTATTTATAGGACGATTATATTTATCCTATGAATAATGCTTCACAAGTTAACAGTTTTTGATACTATGATGCAACAGTGCATAGTTTATTGTGTGAATAATTAACAGATATGATATGAATATTGTGTGATCAGGACAGAAGATGCGGTTGGTTGGAGGAAGCAGCATTTGCTCGGGGAGAGTTGAGATACTGAGCAATAAGACGTGGGGGACGGTGTGTGACGACTCCTGGGATATCCGAGAGGCCAGTGTGGTGTGCGGACAGCTGGACTGCGGCCCGGCCGTGCGGGCTGTGGGACAGGCGGGGTTCGGACAAGGCGCTGGTCAGATATGGCTGGACGAGCTTCACTGCAGAGGAAGCGAATCCTTTCTGTGGGATTGCGTCTCCGCATCCGCGGGTCGCAGCGACTGCGTTCACAAAGAAGACGCCGGTGTGGTTTGCTCCGGTAGGGATCCGATCTCTCAATGTTCATCGACAAATTTGAGGTTTTTTAAATTTTTCTCAACAAAAGCAGATTAATTCTGACTTCATTTGATGCCAGAAATTGAATGGTTACTGGATTTATGTTGTTTGCGATGTTTTGCAGGTAAACCTCCAAGACCGCCAGTCCCAACCGCATCCTTCGGTAAATAACATAATGACTTGACTTTTTGCTAATGCATTGCTTAGCTTTCCTACATATTACCACTAGGTATTGCCATTCATTCGTAAAAACATTAATATATCCAAACCAGTATATTTGTCAACTAACCTTTCAGTAGTCAACACTTGAGAAATGAACAGACTGTATAACTACATTTTAGAAATTAACAGGCGTTTAACTTCAGGAAAAGAGCTGCATCAGGACAATTTTTCAGATAGTTTGGGCATTATTCTGAATACACTGTGGAACATATCATATCACTGTGCAATAATTTGCTTCAGATAACGTTCAGTTTAGTGTGAAGCATTTTTCTTTATAGTTTCGAAAGTGTGACTACCACATGTTGTACAACAATAAAATAACAAATGTTATGTCCTTGACTTGCAAAGTCCAGTTGATCAACATACCTTTCGTGGTCTGCATCGTCCTTGGAATCCTGTTAGCGGTGGTACTGTTTGCACTGATTGTACAGATGGACAGTAATTCTTCAGGAACAGGTGAGACTGGAATCTGATCTCACAGCAATGGCTGGAGCTTCTCTATCAATTCAGATAAAATCCTGTTGACGCACGTGTCTGTTTTTGTTAATTTAATACTCTTACCTGTTTTTACCGTCTCGATTTCATTGCCTGTGTTCACATGTATCTGTAAAGTTGCACAAACTAAAATTAAAGTCATATGCGTTCAAATGCGTAGCTCAAACACAACCACAGATGCATAAAGAAACCACCAGACACAATTAGGCCTCAACGTAAACGGAGCGCAATAACATATTTTTCGATAAAGGACTACAAAAAAATAAAGTGAATTGACTGTATATTTGTGGGCGAACGTGGCAGCCAATTGCGCACAGCAATGTCCCACAAACAGTAGTGGATTGAAAATGACCAATTTATTATTGTTTTTGGTTTTGGAGGGATTATTATTAAATAAGTTAAACTCAAACAAAAACGTAGATACCCACAAAGCATCACAAATACACAGTTGTATTAACACACCAACACACAGAGCTAAGTAGATATTTGCAGGTACCTAAATACAAATGCACAGTCATATTTACCGATTGAAACAAACACTGACAAAAACAAGTACACTGATGAATAATGAGGCAATAGTGACGATGATATATTGACATTTTCAAATAATAATACTAACGTAACATGTTCCAAATATTTACATATCAATTTCAAACTCCACTGTGCAATTTCAGGTTAATATTTTAACTTCTGTACATGTCAACTTCCAACAGAGGAAAAATATCCATCTGCTCGTTTGTATCAAGCAATTTATGAAGAAATTGAGGATCGGCCGATCAGAAGAAGAAACTTCGAGGCTGACTCCACTGGTACATACTTTACAATCATATTTATTGCATCCGCATCATTGAACAAAAAGCATCAACATTAGTATCCCGATTGGTGGCAAATGCAAATGATTGAATGCGCTGTGGTTAGGATTTCAAGCTTTTATTCAGAGAACTGAAAAATCCACATCCAGTTGCGTTGTATCAATTTACCCACTTAAAAGAGGTGAAACCTACTCAATACTTCAATTTGTTCGGTCTTTCAATTTTCAAATATTATCAACGATGATTTCTGCATTCACCGATTAAGCTAAGTTACATTAGTTAATTTAGTATACAGTAAAATAACTTTTAGATATTGGGCTTGATCAATTCACCAAAACGAATCCTACAGAAATTAATATAAGCGATGGTTATAGTGTGTCTGTAGTCGCAGCGAATATCTAAAATAATACCATGTTTTCAAATGTGTCATTCGTAGCCTAAACAGAGGCAGTATTCAAAAATTATATTAATATTATTTAACCAACTTGCTCCTGGTATGTTAAAGATTTTCTCTTGATCAACATCATGTTTTTGAGCGGTTGACCATATTTTCATCCTTGGAAAATGATCCACGATTTCGGAAAAAATCTCTCATTGTTGATACCTTTCTTCGTTTTGATATTGGAGTAGAATTAGGCTCTAAGAACCTCTGTAATGGGACAGTAATGACATTATTTGCACAGTTTCAGGATCCAACGATTCTATCAGTAAACTGGAGTACTACACTGGGGAGAGTGTGAATGGATCTGATGCAGAACAAGGAAACGCTGAGGTGTTTCTTCCGAATGGTGAGTGAGTGAAACAATTATTGTATGTGATACAGCCTCTGATCAATTCGACGAGACGTTTCAAAGCACTTCACATATGTTTCCAGTGATTTTTAGTGATTGTATATCTCTTGATGAACTGGAAAGGCAATTTGTGCGCAAAATATGCACAGTAATCAGGAGGAATGTGGGGCAACCCTCCAGTATAAGAACTATTTCCCTTTTGAGATTTGCAATATTTAAATTCCAGCTAAACATCCAAACGGAGCTCAATGCACTGCACTGCCGTGGAGTGTTATCCAGAGTGTGATCTTAGTCCCCGAGTGGATTACAATCAGAACCTTCCGACCCAGAGGCGAAAGAGCTCCCAATTTATCCGGTTTTCACAGTAACACAAGCTTTAATCTTCAGATAAAGTATCTAAAAAGAAATTCAGGACTTTTTCAGTCGTTCAGGCATAAGATACATTGAGCACCACTGTGTCCAAATTTGGGTGGATATGGAGAGATATTTGGGGAAGACAAATTTGCAGGGCTGTGGGGAGAGCGCGGAAGAGTTGGAGTAATTTTGGTCGCTCTTTCAATAGATGGACTGAATGGCCTCCTTCTGTGCTGTATAATATTATGATATCTGCCTCCTTTTCCTATCTGAATGTTTGAGTGCGTAAGACTGACTCCCTGTTAACAGATCATCTTCAGGAAGATTACGACGACGCTGAGGGCGGAACCTTCCAGATGGCGGACCGGGGCCTCCTCCTGGTCACTGACACACACCCTGATGTCCCCGCACTGACCAGTCACACTGTCCAGGAAGCCTCGCTCTGTCAGGGTAAGAGCCGAACTGTGATGTCTTAGCTTAATGCGGGAGATATTTAATCAGCAACACATCTGGGAGGGAAAATCATTATCACTATCGCAATTATAATCAATCTTCCATTCCATACAGAAATGTAATGGCATAAGGACAACAAGAATTACAATTGTGCAGTGCCTTTCAAGTTAGGACGTCTCGGACAGGCTTCAATGTGTAGTGACTGTATGTGTAGGCGAGTTGGTACGTGTTTGCAGCAAGGGATTGGTAATAGGGCGGCTGGAGATATTTGGCCTTGTTGTGATATCTAAAATCAGAATAATTAGTGGTCGATGTGCAATCTGAAATGGATATTTCAGGGTTTGATGAATTCATCTCCGAGGCGCTCTGTAACGCCATTAACTGCACATACAGAATGGTGCTCTGTGCAGTGTCAATAACTGCACATACATAATGGTGCTCTGTGCTGTGTCAATAACTGCACATATAAAATTGTGCTGTGACTTACCGATTAACGCAGATTTCCTTGTTTCGACGTCTTGTTAATAACAACCTAAATGCAATGAAGGGAACAATCGTTTACAGCACTATCAGCAATTATTGAAACGCGCGTTTAAAAAATTTATAATCTATTTAAAATTTAACAAGTGAGGAGGAATTCCATCTTGAATGCCCAACCCTTCCAGTTTTTTTAAAATTCTGATTGTAGTGATGGAGGTAAGACACACAATCAGAAATCCAAGATGGTTATCTCCGCAATCGGTATTTTTGCCTCACGCACAAACACATAGGTACACACGCAGAGACTCACAGACATACACAACATACCTGTGTACACACAGACACAAACGCAGCACATACACGATCATAGACAGACACAGGCGCACACAAACAGACACACACCGTGACACACAACACACAGACACTCACAGACAGATAGGCACACACAGGCAAACACACAGACAACACACATAGACACACAGACTCACATATATACAGACACACAAATGCAGACGCAGACGCACACTTACAGACACACAGTGACACCTTTCTGAATGTAATCACTAATAAATGATGTCTCTCTCTGCAGAGGGTGGACACCACACAGACAGTGACCCGCTGTTTCCTGTTGACACCAGTCAGTGTGGTTATGATTATGATGATATTGACTGTGAGAATGACACCGAGAAGTACAGACAACTTCCCATTGGGAATCAAAGGGAATCTCCTGAGCTCTGCACCGTCTGATCGCAACATCCCCATCAAACAGGTGAGTTCATGATTTACAGCATTACTTACATCACAGAAAGCCGCCAATGATTGATATGATCGTCCTGGTGACATGTGTAATAGTAGTCACAGTTACAGGTGAATGTAATGGTTATACAACTTGACCAACACCGGTCAGTGATTTTAATCATTCACAATCCTGACTTGAGGCTGATATTAGACAGAATGGCAGTGATCATGTGCAGCCGTCACACATGTCTTCACGCCAATTGATGATGGAATTAAAATTAAAAACTTCTTGTCAGAAACTTCACAGTGATGTGATCCATGGTTGGATGCGACTAAAACGTTAATTTATATTTACTATTCTGAACTGTTGGAACTATTTTCTTTATTTGACTCAGAGATTATTGGTCCTATATGTTATGCGCAAAACTTTTATTTTATTTTCCTGAATCAAAATTTAATTTCACATTCTGCTATTTGAGCGTAAAAAGTCCTTCTTCCTTTGTAAATGTGGTATCAAATGGCAGAAACATTAACTAAAATAGTTGGAAACAGTCTCACAAACAGCAGCCGCTGAACGAAACCCAAGTAACAGCCCCAGAGATTGTCATTGCCAATGTGCTGTACTTTAGGGTGTTATAAATGGATCAGTATTATGTTATTGATGAGAATAAACTTATTTCCTTCAAATAATATATTTTATTGTCTATTTTACAGAGCCATTCAACCGAAATTTCATCACCAATTATTACTGATTATCTTTAGATAGAAAACCAATGGACAAGATGAATATACACGTTCCAACAACATACCAACGCAATTAATATGAAACCGTGTCATATCTTTCTGTGATATCAAGTTTCCATGTGTGTTCTGTGTAAAACATTCTTCTGTGATTTTCAGAATGATTTGTTTGCATTTCAGGGTGAACATAACGTGTGTTTTATACATTGCAGTAATCTGATGCCTCTATTAGTGTTATCATATTACACAGAAAATTGTTGTATTTTATCCTTTACTATTTTATTTTGAATTTACTTTGACGCTTTCGATTCTAGACGGCAATAGAGCTTAAGTTTTTTTTTATTTCCCGTCATTTTAAAAGATTTATTGTGATAAAATTATTAGATTCCTGCGCATATTTGTTCAGATTATTTGTTGAATTTTATCAATCGAGTTATTCTATCTACGAAAGAGAAATTGGTCAATTGGATAAAAACGGATCCAGTTTCAGAGGAAGTGTGTATCCGAACCAGAAAGTTCTATGATCATTCTATATACTGCAGCGAGTGTTAGTTTTGGGATCAATATTAAATATTCAAGAAGAGCCAACAAAAGAGAATTGATGTTTTGACAGCACCCACCATATCTGAGGAGAGAGATTTCTGCTGTTCACTGTTCACCTATTTAACAAACAGATTGTAAATGGTGAGTGAAAATCAAATAGACTTCAATAAATATCAAATGAACATGAAACCGCCCAGTTGTTTGTCATTATTTTCAAATGCACAACACACTAACCACTGACATCTGTCTGTCCCTGACCACCATCGATTGCATAAAAATCAGCAGGTTCGTGATTTTAAATTCGGTGTCATTCTCAGGAAATTCAGTCTGGATCATTGAATCTATCACACAAATAAACGAACAAACAAACAAGGAAACATTCACGCATCGATGAATAGAAAGTTATATAAAGAAATACAGTGGGCGGGGAAAGTTGGCAGAGGAATGTGTGAGATACTGAGTGGAGTGGGAAGATTGAAAGGGAGTGTGGGAATGTGGATCAGGGAAGAGAGATTTGCCCCCGGGGTCTGTGGTCGTTGGGCTTGGGGTGATAGTGGGGAATGGGGCAATCAGTGTGGCTGCTGCTGGGGCAGAGGGAGGCCGTGGGATCATCCACGAGAGATAAGAAGCGAGAAGGAACGAGAGGTGGTCGACAGTACGGCAGTAATGTGTTTAGAGGATATGGATGTGGGGTAGAAGCTGGAAGAGGTGTGGGGTTGAAGATTATGATGTGTGGTAGAGGGCAGTAATGCAGTGATGTGGGCTCAAGGGCAATGATGTGTTGTAGAGGGCAGTGATTGGTGTGGGGGTGAGGGCACTGATTGGTGTGGGATAGAGGGCAGTGAGTGATGTTGGTAGATTGTAGTGACTTGGGGTAGAGAGCAGTGTGCGATATGGAGTAGAGGGCAGTGAGTTGAGTTAAAGTGCTGTGTTGTGGGGTAGAGGGAAGTGCTGTAGGG